TGCTGCCCCCGAAAATTGCGAGCCTTGTGCCCATTGAGCCCCACGAAACAATAATTTCTCCCAAACCCTTCCTCTGTAAAAGCCTCTAGAAACCCTACATACACTCCCACTCAGAATCTCCTAACCCGAAATCCCATAACTACCTTCCTGCACTTCTGACAAGATACCGAATAGCACCCTAGCTTATTATCCCCATGCCAGACCCAGAATATGTTTCTTTCGATCACCTGATCGAAAGCATCACTGCCACTCTTCTGAGGGAAGGTGGCCGCACCAGCAGACCAGGAAGACCCTTCGGTCATTATTGTAAATTACAACTGGGTTTGACGAGGGTTCGGGCTTTACAGGGTTAAGATCTCGATCCGGCAGTACGTGCGTAGAAGCCCTTTCATGATGAACTCAGCCAAAGCCTGCCTGCGAAGCCTGAACCCACCCCGATAAGCACCCATACACATGTAGGCTGCTGAACCCGATCGAAATCTCAGTTTCCTGCTACCACATATGACTTAAGTGTGCTTGTTCGGAAGTGACCGTCGGATTGGTATGGTTTCGTTGAAAATATGTATCATGTACTTAATATATGTGTTATCGACCAATATCTATCTTCCCTTGTATTCATCTATCTATATAGACGATTAGGTATGCCTATGGACCTATCTACCTAGTTATGTATCTATCTCTCTTTCTTGTGTGTACATATATATATATATATGGTACTACATACATACATGCATGCTTGATATGTATATATACACATGAATACATATACAACTGTTCATGTATATGTGTCGTCTATCTATATGTAGAATTATAAAAATCATCCATCCACCCATCACAACACAAGCGTGTGAACAAATGTTTATAGTGCTACACACAGACATCCATGCACCCTTCCACCCACCCATCCCTCCATAGTATCTGGGCATGCTGGCTCGTACCTAGCTGGTACAGGTAGGCATACGTAGGAAGGTAAGCAACTAGGTGGCTGGATGGCCACGTGACTAATTCATGTACATATATATTTTCTATGTAGAGAGATTGTGATGCGGACACATGTAGGAACGTCGACCCTGAAAGTAGCCCACATATTTATCGTATCTAAAGTGGTACATGTGTATATATGTACATATATATATATATGTATATATAGATACATACAAATATAGATGTTATACATATATATATATATATGTATATGTATATGTATATATATATATGTGTGTGTGAGTATACTTGCATATATGAATATTTACATATATATATATATATATACACATATGCCAAGACTGTATAAGTACATAGATATAACCTCGCATCTGTGTGTGTGTACGTCTGTAGGATTTTTCTGTGTATATATATATATATATATATATATATGCACATAATACATGCACACAGGTAGACTCATGCAAACCTATGCACCAACCCTAACTGGCCCTTACTTACCCTAGCATGACTACAGTTACCTATATATAAGTTACCTATCGATCAAAGGCTATTGGGCTGCCGGAGCCAGCCTTCTCGGCAGCATCGCGCTCCAACGGCGTCTTCGACTGGTGGATCTCTTCGAGAAGAGCAGCAACTCGAGCCCCAAATTCTGGAGGATAATTCCTGAGCCCGGGGTCCGGTATTATATGTTTCCAGAAAAACATCAAGATCGAGTCTTGAAGCATGTTGCCCATCATTGCATGATGTACATAAGGAATCTGAGAAGTCTACTCGGTTTTCTTCAAGTGCTTGGTCCCCACGTACTTCTTCTTGGAGTTCTTGATATAGTGTTTGACCGTCTGATTTGAATGTGCCTTCTTCCAACCCCTCAGTCTCCCCCTGTTCAGGCGATGAATAATGTCGCTGTTGGACCATGCAAAGTGTCGCTTCGGTGATTTCGCCCCGTAGTGCAGCATGTACCACACCACTTTGTGAATCTTCACAGCGGCACACAGAGATCTGAATCTTGGGTAGTACTGGAAAAAGGATTGTGCTGGCTGCTCTAAAATAAAGCAACCGTCAAGGGCCAAGATGAGTTGGATGAGTATGCACGTCCTTGGGGTAGGCTTCAGAGGGCTAAGCAGACTGGTATATGCATTACACGGACACATGTTCTATGTGCAAAGGCTGTCCTTGCTGCCAGGCAGTTGCCTTCCACCACCGATCTTTTGGAGGTATCACCCATAGGAACCAAGAAACTTCTTTTGCTCCATCCCATATTGATAACCGTGAAGCTCGAGCACACCAAACCCAACCATACGACGGCCTTGCCCTGCACAGCGGACATGACCCCAACAATGGCGAGCCTAAGTGCGAGCAAAGGTTTGTCTTGTATGTTCTTGCTCACAATCTGAGGCTTGGTGAAGCTGCCGTGACGAGCAATCTGAGATCACTGCGCCATGCCTGCAGGTGTGAGGAGGTCCATATAGTTCTGGTGCTTGTACTCAATCGGGCATCGAAGATCAAACTTGCGAGACGTGTAGCCACATGCACTGACATGTCTCGTGATTTGGGCATCCCCGGCGAAGAATTCCAGCCATTCAACAGACTCGGATCGGGATGGTTCGTTCAGCATGGAAACACATGTCGATCTGCAACCGTGCATGACACAAACCTAATCATGTATGCACCACGTGGCATCACAGGATCGGTAAAGTGACCAAGAGGCGTCGGCACGAATAGTCACATTCTCCGACCAGTACAGCAGCAGTACTGCAAAGATCAGAACCTGCCAATGTCCCAACAAAGAAACCCGATCCTATTGCGACCCATCTCAGGTATATACGGATGGACTCAACCGCACCTTGGGCGCTTTGAGCTTGCAGAGGCGGTGCAAGAAAAGGCTCAAAGAGGCATCGTGCCACATTGCGAGCGACGGCTACCTAAGCCTGCCACATATATATATATATATATATATGTATATACACATGCATGTATATGTGTGCGAAAGCATCTGTATGAACATTTAGACAATGCATGGTAACTGTATATATATATATATATATATATATATATATATATAGGGAGTGAATGGTAAATATATATATATATATATACATATATGGGTATATAGTCGAGGTATAGCAAGTTTGTAGTGGCAACAGCAGAAGCAGCTGTGGCAGGTCCAGCGGGACTGTTATAGTACAATGAAAGTATTGCAGGTATCGTACTTAAGTGGTCTATATATCAATATATGTATATATATATATATATGCATCGCATATAGTGTAGTCGTCGTCACAGTATGCATATATAGTGTATATATGTATATATAATAGAGACTGAGACTACTATTCATATATGCCAGTGATATATACATATATATATATATAGGAAATAAAATGGTAGATAGCAGAAACGTACATTGAATGGTAGTGCGATCACAACCTACCAGTATATAGATTGAGCAACAGCAGCAGCAGCAGTAGCAGGGCCAGGGGCAAGATTAGCACAAAGCGTACTTGTGCATGTATACATATACATATATATACACATAGTCATGCAGTAGTATAGTCTCTAAAAGTCATCGTCAGTATGCAGTTAACTGTAGATTTCTGTGACTAGATAGTGTATGGTATGCATATTTGTGTATATGTGTACATACATACTATCTACATGCACATGTCTGTCGTTGATCACGGCTTCACACTCTGTGACTCACGAGCATCAGATGTCACAGCTGGCAACCAAGTTCAGCACGAGCGTCTGTGAAGCCCATGGGAGCCCAATAAGCTCCCCACACTATTCGATCGCCTGTGAAGCCCACGGGCGCCCAATAAGCTCCCGAAAATCTGAAACATCCTGAACCCTGGAAACCACCTGTATCTTAATTGAACTACATAATCCTCCAGCACCCTGAAAGGCCTATACAGTACATTCCTAAACCCCGCGATCGCTACTCAATCAACAGAAGCCCTAGATGCCTGTTGTATATAATGTATTAGAAGGGTACCGAGTACGTAATTATTTACTTAAATTGTTTATAGAGGATCCCCACTCCCGGCACCCCACACCCCGGCGTGGACCCGAAAAAAAAACTATGTAAGAATCTACCAACTGAATCCCTCGACCCCAAAACCACGGCACTCCTGACCCCGTGAAGCCAACGTTTTGCTATCCACATATAGAGTAACTGACGGCTATAGAACCCACACCTCTGCCTCTAAGGTACAGAAAGATCACTACATCCGGCTAACATGTATAGGCAAGATCCTTGTGAGCATACTGCTGCAGAGACTAGATGCAAAGCCATTAAGCATCACAGAAAGATGCCACCTGGAATGTTTCATTCTTATGTAGACCGGGTTAAAAGAGTATGTAGGGTATGTATATATAGTGTGTATATATATATATATATATATATATATAGATATGGGGTTTAATTGGGATTCCAAACTATTCTTCTATTGGGTTATCAAGGTTTACATAGTACGTACATTATACTAATCATCGACCAATCAGGATAACACGTGGAAGCTGCACGAGTGTCGGCATTGGCCCTGCCGGCAGAAACCTCCGCAACACGCCCACGTAGAGACTTTGGCACCGGCATCGAAAGTCGCAGACCTGCGATGCAGATACACTTAAATTGTGCTGGCAGTGGTTTGCATCACACACCAACTCCAAGCACACATTGCTCTGCACTCAATAGAACTGCAACGGTGTCAATGTTTTTTTCATCAGCGAGCGAAGGACGACCTTGAGTTGTCTTTCCCCAGCTAGTGCTCTAAGCCAGCAAGGCATCGAGACTGCAGACGTGTTCCGCCTGTCTCCCACCATGTACACTGCACATAGTCACCGGATCATGCCGAACATGTGTTATAATTCTATATGGACCCTGACGATATAGAATAAAAGCTTCAGCATTCGGTCGGGGTACAATAAAATCTTCAGCGCTCAGTCGGCTTTAGATCCGACACCATAATGACTCTAAGCACATGAAGCCCACACAGGCTTTGGCACCTCCACAATCCAACACCCTATGCTTGGCATCGCAACCAGCAAAAGCTCCCCTAGGAAATCGCTTTCTTCAGCTGTTGCTTGATTTTGTAGATAAACTGGTTGATGCCCTTGATGTCCTCGGGATCCTTGTCCATGTACTTGACCTCAATTGTACCAAGCATATAGAAGCACACCGCCGGATGTGGAATTGCATTATACATGCATGTACATGAGCAACTCAAAGGCAAAGGGAAGCTCAAGCATCACCAATTAGTTCAAGACACACACTCGATGGCAGCATGCAAAAGCTTCGAGGTGGTTGCACCCTTCGACCCGAAGTACTGTACCTGCATGCATATATATATAATGAAGAGAACAGATGGCTGAACATACCGGCCTATGTGTCCCACGTGCCTGCTTTCCGTCTGACATCTGCTTGATGCCCACACCAGGTCGGGTCCAGTAGACCATAATGACAAAGTGGTTCAGAATGGCATTTGTCGCAACCACGAGCTTCCTCAACTCAATCTTCTCCTGCATGCAGCGATTTTCTGACACTAGCCATAAATACTCGATCTACGAAAGACCTGCAGCCACGGCAGTCACAAACCGAACTCACATGCACATCAGTGTTCTCATGATTGACACAGATATAAACACAAAGAAGATCTGCTCTGAAATCAATTCCCTAGGCCTCTTCAAGCTGAAGACCCGGTTGCTTTGGCTTCTTTTCCTTTGCATTGTCATCCCGGCCCTCCGGCTTTCTCTTCTTGGGGTCCTCATCCTTGCGCTCCGGGGTTGTCTTTTTAGACACTCTCCTCTCCGGCGCTGCCTCGGAAGCTTCAGCACCCTTGCCCTTTCCTTTGCCTTTCTTCGTTTTCTTTGCTTTTGCTTTGCCACTTCCTGCCCCTCTGCCTTTACCCCTTCCTTTGTTTCCCGTGCCCCTTCCTCTCCCCTTTCCTCTCCCCTTTCCTCTGCCCGATCCTTTCTTTGAGCCCTTGCCCGCCTTGGGTTCCTTCTCTGCCTCGTCTTCTCCCGTAGCCGCCTCAGGCACCGAAGCATCCCCAGACACGGCATCCCCATTTGTTTTGGGATCCTCCTGCACCCTAGGCTTCTTCGAACTGCTTTTGGCAGCTGTTCTGCGCTTCTTTGCCGGCTGCTCAACACTCTCAGCCTGGCCCTCCTCGGACTGCGGAGCCTGGCAAACCTTGGCAGCTGGGCCCTCATCGGTCTCCGGAGCCTGGCAAACCTCGGCATCGGCCAGCTCCTGTGCTTCCTTGTCCTCACCGGCAGGATTGAAACAAAGTTGCATGATTGCATGATATCCATGCATGCATATATACCAGTACAGTATATAATTAAACCAATTATAAAGTATACGTGTCCTTCTTTGCCTTGGCAGCTGCTTTCTTGGCAGCAGCTATTTCCTTGCGTTTTTTCCTAGCATCCAGCTGTTCTTCACGACGGATAGCCTGGGATATCGCTGCAACTGCAAAACTATAACAATACATGCAATCAAACAGTTCATACACAACATGTGTGACTCGATCATGTAGTTAGGCCTAGGGGCAGGCGGGTTTGGCAGGCTTTCAACCATTTCGGTAGATGAGTTCAGGCGTGCCAATCTGTCGGCCTCCATATCCAACACAGTCTGTGGTGGCACCTGTGTGTCATCCGTGTCCAACACAGGCTTGGAAGCTGGTGCAGGTCCTGGGCGGGGATACAAGCTAGAACACAAAATGCCCACATTAGTTTTGTGTGCATGCAGACACCCACATATTGCACATGGGCGCTTAAATTGAATTAATTGAGTATATACACCTGCAATGCCTGCACATGCACACTCCTATACAGACAAGTTGCCATCGGCAAGTGCTCCCGATCGAAGCTGCAACCTCAACGGGGGCCCAAAACAAAGCCAACAATCCAAATCCATATATTTCATTAAATGATCGACTCGCACCGCACGATTGTACCAGAAACAACCGAGACTGCGGCAACTGCACTTGCAACAAAGCCAGCTCACGCATAGCAGCTTTCTTGTCCATGGGTTCTGGCTCTGGGGCTTTCTCGTCCATGGGTTCTGGCTCTGGGGCTTCACCTAGCTGTGACTCCTCTGCATCTGCTTCGGTTGGGGTGATTTCGCCTTCTTCCTCCTCAGATTGGGGAGCTTCGGCTGCACGTGCCAATTGTTCCTTCCTGTAGGCCTCCAGCAAAGCCAGCTCCCGCATAGCAGTTTCCTTGTCCATGGGTTCTGGCTCGGAAAGGGTGGGCTTCAAAGCCTCGTCGTGAGGCTCTGCTTTCACCATTTTTCTGGGTGACTCAGCCACGTACAGCACTTCTTTGAACACCACACGTGAAGCATCTGGAAGACTTGGAGGGGACGGCGTAAGGGCCGATGAGGATGGCACATGCAACAGCTTCGGCTTGGGTGTTGCGGGGCTTTGACCAAGGATAAGGGTAGTGGCATCTGAAGCAACCGAGGTCGAACTGTTCATATGAAACACACCCTTCTTTTGCAAAGGAGGATCACTCCGAGGCTCAGGGGCCTCAGGTGGAGGGATAACAGCATCCAGCACAGGCTCAGGGATACGGCCAACATCCAGCACAGGCTCAGGGATACGGGCAACATCCAGCACCGGCTCAGGGATACGGGCAACATCCAGCACCGGCTCAGGCATAGGGTCAACATCCAGCGTTGGATCGTACTCTGCCTCCTCCTCCTCAGCATCTTCCATATCTTCCTCGTAGGCATCTTCAATGCCAGCCGCTTCATCAGCATCTGTGACATCCCACCGGGTCTTCTTGCCACCTTTACCATAAAGCTCCTCAATAATATCATTCAAACATATCATGCGGGCCAACTTGCATGCAAAGTTAAGGTATGCATGCAGGTCTGAATCTGGTCTGAATGCAAACACTCACATGACATTGCAAAGAAGGCTCTTGCTCACCCCACAAGTTCAGCATGTCGGCAAAGTCCGGGTTCTTGGCAGGAGGCTGTGTTGCATCACACATGCATAGAATCACTCACTCACTCAGAATTAAACTATGTTGCAATCAACTTCGGGAAACACAATGTGCAACTGAGCATCCTTCGGCTGATGCGGTTTCATGAAGCGCTGGCGTGCATACGAAAGCAATCGTTTGAATGCTTTCGCATCAAGATGGGCGTTGGCTTCAACAATCTCCACCGTGGCTTCTAGAAGGGCTTTGGGTCGTTTCGAAGTCTTCGCTCGGTTCATCGCGTACAAAGTATGGAGGGAGATCAGTTGCGCTTTCAGCGATTCAACATCGGGGACGTCTAGGCTTCGCGCTCCACGCTGGCGGACCATATATGCTTCTAGCAGGTGCCTGTTCTCCAAGCAGTGCTCCTCGCTGGCCTTAACGAAAGTCGAGCCGTCCACCGCTCTCACCAAGCGGCCACCTTCCTCGAGCCGGGATGTGATTTCCCGGTTCTTGCTCCACACGAGATGCAGACAATCCACCGTTGCGAAAACTGCCATCTTTAAAGGAAACTGAAGACACCACTTGATCAATTTGAGAGATGAAGCATGCGATCCCTGGCTCCAAGTGCCTTGGCGACTGCTGAATTGCATGGTACATATGTGATGCCTGCTTGTAGCTGCTGTCCATGCGAAATCCATGCACAAGCACTTTGAAGCAGAGCAGCTGCTATAGTGATCGGAGGTTTTGCTCACGCACACCATGCAGCACAAGCAAATCTCACACTTGCATGATGCACAGCTCAAAAACAGCAGCACAGGTGGGCTGGGGGCGTACCTCTGAAGCCACTCAGCAATGCATGGCCATTGAGCGCAAAATGCGCTTCTCACGACGTGACTACACAAATGTAGATTCTATATATGTCTGTCGTATATACGGGTCAGGGTCTAAACGTATAGGGAAATTCATTTCCAACGGGTTTTTGGGCGTATATATAGGTTATATAGCTCGGTGGTCTCTTTACTCATTCTGTTTTAAGGGGCTGTATCTAGGGATCCTCATATATATATATATATATACACAGTATACTATATAGGATCAGATAAAGAGACCACCAGCCTGTTTTAGGTGTATACATATACAAGGTTTTACGGGCGGCTATATGGGGGCAGGCCTATATACAGGAGACAGCGAGGGCAGCCGGCTAGACCTATGTTGTCGGACTATGCATGTAGGCTTCTGTTCTCCGACCAAGAGAGAACTACCTCCTACTTGCTGCGTAAATCTATATAGTCTATATAGTCAATATGTACATATATATATATATATATAAATATCCCTATATAAACTATAATATATATATATATATATATATATATATATATATATATATATATATATATAGCTCTATATATATACACATATATATATATATATATATATATATATATATATTTAACATGACCAACTCTGAAAGCCTCCGCACAGCACTGCCTCGAACAGCTGTCTGCGGGCATAAAGCTCGGCCTCGTATTTAGGGTTTACAGGCTTTATAGGGATCTGGAGCAAAAAGGGCCATATTTGTTTAAGGGATGGAACCCCGTTTGGGTGTTCGAACTCACACCAATTCAACTGCAACATCGACCCGAAATAAGCCCCAGAACAACCGATAAAACCGATCCGAAATAAGCCCCAGAACAACCGATAAAACCGATCCGAAATAGGCCCCATAACAACCGATAAAACCGATGCGAAATAGGCCCCAGAAAAAGTAAACCGAAACAAAAAGTAAACGTTCGCATCCAAAAAGTACGCGAGTAGCGCAGCATCGAAAAAAGTATACGTTCAAACCTACTGGAAAGTCTAGGTTCGGTACCTGGACTGTCGCTGCTGTGTAGCTATACATGTCTACGACACACTAACACGACTGCGTGTGGTCGTCTCCAAAAGCATGCTGTATGCGAAAGCAGCACGATCATCAGGCATCGCAACGAAATGTTTGCCTAAGCTCGCTAAACACCAAAATTAGGACTCCCCTGCCGGACCCCCAAAATGCAATTTTTATATCTCGCCATGGGAAATCGATGGGTTTCAACGCGAAAAAACCGGTGATTTTGGATGGTGCTTCTACATGAAATGCACGCTCCTTCCTTTTTGGGGGGCCCAAAATTCGTGACGGGTTTTTTTCAACTTTCACTGCTTTCTCGCGATGGGATAGGGGTTGCCGTGAGAACCCAAAATTATGGAATTTAGGATAGACCTTTCCCATGACATATGAGTTCCTTCGCTTTTGGACGTCGGCCGATATATCCTAAACCCGAACAAAGGTTGACGTTCAGCTTTCCGTAACTCTATTTGGCAGACTTCCAGCACGCAGCTTGCTGCCTGCTCCTTCAAAGCCGAATCCGGGACTCCCCGGAGGTGGACCCCAGAATCGAACTTTTGTATTAGCGTTGTATTTAGAAATCGACTCGTTTCGGCAGCTCCCTCATAGCTCGGGTTCCCGCTTGAAACTGCGACTATAGCGTGTCCCTGCACGAAGATGTGATTTCATGGACACGCACATTTTGTAGTAGTGTTTTAGCCACAACCGCACCCGCGCGTCGCGCAAGCGACCAGATAAACTGCAACTACTACGACCGCTCCAGTATTGCAGAGAGAGAGAGAGAGAGATAGAAACTGCAAGTAGTACGATCGCTCCAGTGTTGCCGAGAAAAAGAAATTGCAAGTATTACGCTCGCTTCCGTGTTGCTACGCTCGCTCCAGTACTGCACAGAGAGAGAAACTGCAAGTATTACGACCGTGTAGCTTTCACAGGAAATATCAGTTGTTTGTCTTTTTAAGGCAGTCCATACATCCAAAACCTGAACAAAGGTTCATGTCTCAGTTTACCGCGGCTATATTTAGCACAGTTTCAGCATGCACTTGGCGGTTTGGTCAAAAGCAGCGCTTTGCAAAGTCTGAGCTCGCTACTCGCACCTTCCGCTGCTTGTACACACATATATGTTTGTTCCGGCACACACACACACGTAAATGAATCCTGCGCACAATCGGCCATAGTAGCACAACTTCGTGCTTGCTGCCCCCGTGCAATGCGCTGGCGACCGCAATATAAGTCGTGTTTAAGTCCATAAACATGGTTACAGGCGCATCTCTCGTGTTTCCTACACCCTTACGACGCGTGGCGACCAGCAGCACTGAACAGCCGATTGATTTGCTTTCGAGTCCCCCTGTTCGTCGGGACTCCCTGGCCGGGACTCCCAAAATCGAAGTTTTGTTTTAGCGCTCTGTTTAGAAATCGATCAGTTTGGGCAGCCCCGGCCAACTTCGTTCAGGCAGCTGAGACTACATTGCTGGACTGGGCGTTTTTTGCAAGCATGGCACTTCCTTTTGCAACGGAAGAAGCACAACATGAGAAAGTGGCTGCGGAAGAATCCATGAGTTCCGTGCTGTTTTGCTTGTTTCAAGCGATTGCCGCAACACGTCTTCCGGCCGAAAGCCGAAGGTTCATGAGGCCTTGCAACAGGCGGAATCGACGTTGACGATTGAAATCGCAATGTTTTTTCCCCAAATCACTGTTCCCCAACGACTCATGTCACTATTCTGGATCATGTTCGCACGATCCGTGGACCCTAAGCTCGCGCAGCAGGTGCTACCAAACATTGTTTCCAATGAACGTGGCTTCTTTAGTAGACACAGGTTCAAGCAAGGTTAGCCCTGCTGCCAAGTGGTCGTGCTTATTAGCACTTGCTGCCGAGCTCTTCCCATTTCTTATGCCTGTTCCAGGCCCATTGCACGCAGTGCTGCAGAGCGCCCTCACCAGTTGCGCCGGTGCTGTCCTGAGTGAGCCACGTACGCGAACCGGCGGCAACACCCATCGTGTACCATGTATTTATTGCGGTAAAGTTTCGTGTTCGTCTCCTGGGTTCTTGGGGTACCACACTTGGAATCGCGGCTGCGCTCCTGGAGGAGCGTAGCGCTGGATGCGCACTCCTGAACGGGCAGTACGGGCACCATATTTTGGGATGGACCCTGCGCGCCTTCGCGCGGAGGTAGGAGGCGTTGGTATTCCCCAGAGCCGTGGTGGTACTGCTTTGCGACACCCATGTGGAAACACTTCTCGCCTTTGTCGGCGTCAACCCACACGAAGTCCCAGTCCACGGCGCCCTCCATCTCTTCGGGCACGGCCTTGCCAAGCGGTTCGCCTGCGATGTGCTCGTCCGCGTTGTCCAAGGCTTGCTCCCCGGCTTCCGTTTCCTCCTCCTGCTCGCCCGGATCTGCAACGACACTGTTTTGTAGGGGATGTAACAGTGCATCGTCCACCTGGACAGTGAGTGGGCACTCCTCACCGTCCAGGTATTGTCGGACGAAAAGGGTCCGGAAGGTGCTGCCGACTTTAATGCTCAAGTCCTCGGGCGCCATGCTCATGCGGACTTGCATGGCCTTGCAGCCCTTGCATGTGCGGACTTGGCTTGGAGCATACGCTTCCTGCCGGGAGGGGTCTACGACCACGAGGCGGTAAGGGTCCTCCTGCCATTCTTGATGGCGTTTCGCTTGGGCTGCTGTGAGACCCTTTGCACCGCGAGCATTTTTATGCGCCTCCCATTTTTGATGCTCCTTGATCCAAGCCTGCATTTGCAGCTCCAGTGCTGCATTAAGCCATATAGGCAAGGGAGAGCAACGCTCCTCGCCGTCCAAATGCCACCACGCATGCTTTTTGCCGACGAGGGAGGAGGCAATTTGTTGCGCGTCCAGTTCCTGTGTAGCTTGCTCAAGATTCAGGTGGGGAAGCACATCGAGATTGATGAGGCTGGCCATGGAGCCGCGGGCTTGCGCCATTGCAGCTTCAGCAGCATTTGTATCACCGCTGAAGTTCAATTTGGCCAGCTCCTCCATGTCAATGTAGCCAAGGCGGTGCCACGCGCTCATGACTATATTCCCCTTTCTGTGCTTCCGCAAGGCTTGGAGCGCGTAGATGTCGGACTGCAGCGACGTCATGAAGGGGCACGTGGTACAGATTTCGCCTCGCAAATCAAATTGCGCCTCCTCCAGCGTCCTTCCATAGGCCGGGTTGGCTGAGCCCACCGCTTTCCGCAGCCATGCGCGGCGCAGGAGCCTCCAGGTTTGATGCCACTGGTCGTTCGGGGCTCCTGCCGCGCCGAACCCGCCAGGGATTTGAATCGGGTGCTGTTTGTCACAGCCCAGCAGGAGGCAGTTGTTCTCCGTTTCCCACAGCTTACGGAGTTCAGCGAAGTTGTGGTCGCTGTGCACGGAGGCATCGTCCGCGATGATGAGCGCCCCATCCTCCCACTTCAAGCCGTACTGCTTGCGTCGCTGTTTCAGCTCCGTGGTGAGGAAATGCAGGTAACGAACGGTGGTTTCGCCTCGCCACATATGCGTACTGGAGTGGGAACGCTCCACATGGGCGAAGCCTCGCAAATCTTGCGCTTGCTTCAGCTGCGCTTCCGAGATTTTGCCATCGGCCACTGTGATGAAGAGACGCCCCAAGTCTCCATTGCGCCACGACAATGTTGTCGTCGTCCTTGGAATTCTCCAGTTC